GCTGGATCATATGGAAGCTCTATGTTTAGTAGGTCCAGAAATCTCCACACAGCTCTCCATAGTGGTTGGACCAGTTTGCACTCCCACCAACAGTGCAGAAGAGTTCCTTTTTCTCCACACCCTCGCCAACACTTGTTGTTGCTAGTTTTTTTAATATGTGCCATTCTCACTGGTGTAAGATGGTATCTCATGGTAGTTTTGATTTGCATTTCCCTGACAGGGCCTTTTGAACAATTTTGGGCCACAGTCTTGTGTGGTTGGGTCAAACTGTCAACCTCAGAAATCAAGTTTCTGTACTGCCAATGACAGCTGCCTCGCATCAGAGCAGTCAGTTGGTTCGTGTGGGACTCTTAATTGAACTGGGAGCCCCAAGGTGGTTCACATGGGGCCTGCTTGTTTACTTATGTACCCCGGGCCAGGACCGGATTGATCGTCTGGATAAAGGGCCTCAGCCACGTGAACCTGGTTGCAATTTGCTACAGGTTGATCTCTGACCCCTGGCTGGTCTGATGGGGCCCTCTGATTTATATGGGTGCCTAGTCTCTATGTGGGCGCTCTTGGCTATAGATTCTCAGGTCCCCCAGCCTGCTTTGGATTCGGCTTCAGGGTAATTCAGAGCCCCAGGCTGGTTTGGTGGGGCCAACTGCTCCACTAGGAGCCTGAGTCTTGGTCCAAGGTGAGCCTGCTACTGGGCCTTATGAGCCAAAGGCTGGTTCTAGTAAGATTTTGGTTGAACTCAGAGCCCCAGGGTGGTTTGAGGGGGGACTCTGGTTTGCATATATGCCCCAGACAAGATTCAGTTCATCCTGACTAATAACCCTCAGCAATATAAGCGTGGTTCCGATGAGCGGCAGGTGTAACTCGGACCCAGGCTGGTGCTGATGGAGCCTGCTCGTTGACCTGGTAATCCTAGGCTCGGTACAGCCTGTACCCACTGCTGGCCTCAGGAGCCACAGAATGGTTTGTGTGGGCCTCTCAGTTGAACTCAGAGCCCCAGGGTGGTTTGAGGGTGGCCTGTTGGTCAACCTGGTGGTCCTAGGCTCAGTTCGGGTGCTGCTGGCTTTTGAGACTTGGGAGTCCCAGCCTGCTTAGGATAGAGCCTCAGGGCCAATTCAGAACCCCAAGCTGGTTTGGGGGGGAGGGCAACTGGTCAAATTCGGAGTCCAAGGCTCTGTCCATGCTGTTCTGGTTGCTTTGATTTGGGTCTGCTGGTTTACCTATGTGGCCCAGTCTGGGTCCTGGTCGTACTAGCTAACAGGCTTCGGCAGCCTAAGCCTGCTTCAATTGGGGTTGCAAATTGAATTCAGACCCACAGGCGCACACTGATGGGGCTTTCTGGTTGACCTAGGAGCCCTAGGCTAGGTATGCATGCTGCTGCAGCCCATTATCCCCAGGCTGCTTGCTAGGCCTCTCAGGTCCAAGTCTTAGCCCCAGTCTGGTTTGGTGAGGCCTCATGGACGAACTTGAAGGCCTAGGCTTGCTACATTTGCCTATCTTGTTCCAGGAGCCCCACTGTGCTTCAAATAGGGCTTCAGATCTGAGCCAAAGCCCCAGGCTGGTTTGGTGGGGTCAACTGTTCGACCTCAGAGAACAAGGCCTAGTCTGGGCAGTACGTGGTTCTGGGCCTTGGGAGCCACAAGCTGGATTTAGTTAGGCTATTGGTTGAACTTGGAGGCCCAGGATGGTTCAAGTGTGTCCTGTTGTTTACCTACGTGCCCCAGGTGGGATCGGGGTCATCCTGGCTTGTTTACCTTAGCAGCGTAAACCTGGTTTAGATGGGACTGCAGGTTGAACTCAGATTCCCAGGCTGGTGCTGACAGGGCCTTGTGGTCCACCTGGGAGAGCCACCCCTTCCCACCCTCAGGTCTCAACCTGCCTGGTCTCTGCAGGCTTTTATGTTCACAACCCTCACTGCCCCTTCTGGAAAAGAGCTCACCTGTCTCAAAAACCTCTGTCCACTGTCACACCTGCAGCAGCACCAAGTTCGCCGTGTCTTCCTATCGCTAGATGGGCCCAAAGACTTGCGGCCCAATTCCCGGCCTCCCACCGAATATTCCCCACCCAAGCTGGCCAGTGCGGATGGGCAGCTGTTCAAGAAATTGCCAGCCTGTTTTCCAAAGTGGTTGTACCACTTTACAGTCCCACATTTGTTCCCCACTCTCGCCTACTCTTGGTCTTTTTAATTTTTGCCGTAGTGGTGGGTTGTGGTGGCATTTGTTGTGGTTTTAATTAGCATTTTCCTGGAGATGTGGGTCGTCTTTCCCTGTGCTCATTTGGAACCCACAGATTCTCTGGTGAATCAGATGTTCAAACCTTTTGTCTGTTTTAAAATCAGGTCTCCCTTGTTTATTGCTGAGTTGAAGTGTCTTTATCTCCTCCAGCCACAAGTCCCGGGTCAGGCACAGTGCTCAGAAACGTCTTCTCCAATTTTGCGACCTGCCAGGTCATTTGTGTGATGTGTCTTTTGGAAAGCAAATTTTTTCGTTTTTGTGAAGCCTAAAATATCGGGGCGGGGGGTTCTTTTTTAGTTCATATTTTTGTGTCTCATTTAAGAAATCTTTACCAAAACCAAGGTTCTAAGACTTTCTCCTGGGATGTCAGCTTTTACCTTTAGGTCTATGATACATTTATTTATTTATTTATTTATTTTTATAGAGGCATGTTTTATTTATTTATTTATTTTATTTGTTTGTTTGTTTTAGTTTATACAAGCACTGGGTACAGTCAGAAGCACGGGAGGGTGAGAGAATTCACCAGAGCCAGAGCGGGGAGCAGAGCAGGCAGAAGGACCGAAGGACACTGCTGAGGGGAGCAGCGGGCGGCAGGAGAGGTCTGCGCACCATGTGGGACCCTCCTCCGAGGGCCGGGGAGCAGCCAGGGATCGAACCGGCGCTGCAGAGGCTGCGGGCAGCTTCGCAACCCAGCGCTCAACCGCTGCGCCACTGGGGAGGCCCAGGTCTATGATACATTTAAAGTTAATTTCCTCCATGGTGTGAATTAGGGCTGAGTTTCTTTTCCCTCCCTCCCTTCCTTCCCTACGCCTACCTACTTGTTCCAGCATTGCTTGTTGAAAAAGGTTATCCTTTCCCCATTTAATTTATTCATCACTGAAAATCAATTAATATTACATGCAGGGTCCTATTTCTGAACACTCAGTTCCTTTATATCAAACAAAAACTGTCCCAATTTGTTCTTTGCTTTTTCATATAAACTTTAGGATGAGGTTGTTGATTTATACCAAAAAAAAAAAAAAAAAACAACAAAAAGCAAAAAACCAAACCACTGCATTTGACTGACCTCAAATCTACAGATTAATTTATGAAAATTGATTTTTTTGAAAACAGTGAGTCTTCCAATCCATGAAAATAGTCTATCTCTCCATCTGTTTGGGATTTCTTCAAGTCTGCCAGCATCGTTTGTAGTTTTCAGCTCATAGATCTTGTCTGTCTTTGCTTGAACCCATCCCTAGGTATCACATTTTCCCATGCTGTTGTGAAGTGGCCTGTGTCAGACTCCTCTGTGTCTGCCTGTTCCCGGCGTGCAGAAATGCCACCCACTGACCTTGTGTCCTGCAGCCTTCATAAGCTCAATAGTTTGAGTAACATTTGTTTAGATTTCTTAGGATTCCTACATGATGTCATCTGTGAATAAGTTCAGTTTATGCCTTTTTCTAATCTGTACACATTCTGTTTATTTTTCTTGCCATAGTGCACTGACCAAGGCTCATGCTGGCCGGGTTCCTGACCTTAAGAGGGAAGCATTCACTCTTTCCCCAGGTGTGGTGCTACCCCAGGTCTCCCTAGGTGCCCTTTATTAGGCTGAGAGAGTCCCTAGCCTTCCTGGTTTGCTGAGTTGTTTATCAGGAATGAAGGCTGCGTTTTGTCAGAGGCCCTTCCCATATCTATTGATGTAATCATATGCTTTTCTTCTACAGTTTGTTAACAATTTCATTTGTTGCTCTAGATTTTAAATATTAAACCAACCAGTGTTCCTGGGATAAACTCTCATTTATATATTGAATATATTGTTGGGTTCAATTTTCTAAATATCTGTTAAGAATTTTTGTGTCTATGTTCACAAGAGATATTGGTTTACAGCTGTCTTTCCCTCTTATGTCTGTTTTCTGGTTTTGGCATCAGGTAACACTGGCTTCAAAGTATGAGCTGGGAAGTCTAATTTCTTTTTTAATCTTCTGGGAAGTCTTGTGTAAAACTGATATTATTTCTGGCTTCAATATTTGGCAGAGCCCACCAGTGAGGCCATCTGGGCCTGGAGTTTTTCTCTGTGGGAAGGTTTTAAAGCATAAATTCTGTTTCTTTACTATATATAAGGCTAATGCTGTTATCTGTTTCTTCATGAGTGAGCTTTGGTAGTTTGTGTCCTTGAAGCAATTTTTTATAGTTCATCTAAATTGTCAAATTATCTGATGGTAAAATAGTGCACATAATATCCCATATCATTCCAAGTCTGTGGGACTTGGTGATGCCTCTCCCATTCCTGACGTTGAAATGTGTCTTTTCTCTTGTTTTCTTGATCAATATAGCTAGAGGCTTGTACATTTTGTGATCTTCTCAACGGAACAGCTTCAGGTTTCATTGATTTTCCAACTTTCTATTTTTCCCATTTCTGCTCTTTATTATTTCATCACTTCCACCTATTTTAGGTTTAGTTTTTCTAGTCTCTTAAAGTGGAAGCTGAGGTGTTTGATCTATACCTTTCTTCCTTTCTAAGGGAAACATTTAATGACAGGAATTTTACTTGATCACTGCTTTAGCTTCATCCCACAAAATTTGGTATGTCATTTTAAAATATTATCATTCAGTTCAAAATGTTTCCCTTCTTGGTGATTTCTTCTTTTACCCATGGTTCCCTTAGAAATGTATTGGCATCTTGTAGCTCTCTCTCTGTTACTGTTTTCTAATTTAATTCCATGAGGATCAAAGAGCACACTGTGTGATTTGAATCCCACATATTTATTATAAGTGAGGCGAGGCTGGGAACCTACAGGGGCCTGCCGGTGGGTGTGACTTTTTCACTAGAAGGTTTTAAGCCGACCAGGGATTTGATTGCATTTCTGGATAAGCTTCATGACAGTTAGACCCCTGGGACCAGTCTGTTGGAACCTGGGTCTCTGGGTCTGTCTGGATCCTGCCCTGGCCTGGTCTGCTCAAAAGGCTCAGAGGTGAGAAACCCATGGCCGCAGTTTTTTGGGAAGTGAGTTGCGGTGACTGAGTGAAGGTGTGAAGACCCACGCCTGGCAGGGGAGCCAGAGGACGCCTCCAGTTAAGGAAGTGACCCCGAGGGCAGCGGGGCTGGTAGGCCTGAGAGTCTGACCAGGCAGGGAGAGCAGAGTGAGCAGGGAGGAAACCTTCAGCCTTGCAGATGGCCTGGCCACCTGCTCAGCTGTCTGGGGCACGGCCAGCCTCCAACTGGAGGGGCCACTCTCTGCCTCGTGGTCTTTGGCCGAAGACTCCGAGCAAGCAGGGGCTTCCTAGAGCCAGGTGCTTTCTGTAAGGACCCCCGCTCGCTGGCTCTCCTTGGCTGCTGCCGCCGACCCCCTAGAAAGAGACAGCAGAGGTGGGTGGTGACGATGTCTCATGTTTGAGGTTCGGGGGCAGAACAGGGGTCAGACCTTATAGGAATAAAGGCTCCATGGGATTAGGGTTTTGTTGACTGCTGTGTACCCAAAACCTAGGACAGTGCCTAAAACAACCAGCTTCTTTGCTTCCTTAGCTGGGCACCCTTAGGCAAGTTACAGAATCTCTCTGGTCTCCGTGGCTTTGGCAGTGAAATTGGACAGGGCCTGAGTGGAGATGTTTTGCTGATTAAATAAGCTGCTGTTAAAACAACAGGGCTCATCAGCACAAGACAGGCCATGCTGCTCACCTGAGGCCGCCCACCAGCACCCACCTCACCCCAGGGCTGCCGGCTGGGGCCCTCGGTGAGCACGCCCCCAGGGCTTTAACAGAATCACCTGCTTAGACCCGAAAATTACTCTAGGAGCCAGGCTGGTTTTAAACACCCGTTTTACAAAGCAGGAAGCGGAGCACAGAGTGATTCTGGCTGTGGACTAAGTGCAGGATACTCCTGAGAGCAGCCTGGAGGGCGCCAGCATGCTCCTGGAGGGGTTGGGAGGGCGCACCCGGCTGCCTGGCCAGGCACTCTCTGCGGGGTGATTTCAGAGTGGGGGTGGGGGGTGTCTCTATTGTCTGGTGTCAGTATTGGTGCCAGGTAAGTAAGTTGGCCAGGAGGGAAGCGTCCCAGGAGGGGGCTCTGGACCCGGCACTTTCCTGCCTATGGTTCTCGTCTCCCTGTCGGACCCGGGGGCATCTTCACCTCTCAGAGCCTCCCGCATGTGGTCGTGGTTAGATGGTCTCTGAAATGGCAGACTTGACGCCCTCAAGAGCCCTCGTGCGGTTGCCCCCGTGTGGCATCGGGAAGTGCTCACGACAAGCCCACTGCCGGCCATGGGACAGCGGGCCCAGCCCAGCCAGCCCTCTCCGCCCAGGATGCCTTCTGACCCCGGGCTCTCTGACCCAGGCCTGCCGCCATTCTTGCAGCCCCATCCAGATACACCAGGGGTGAGAGGGCACCCGGCCCCGCTCCCAGGGCGGCCAGGGGTCACTCACTGGCTCTCCAGGTCCTGGATGGTGTCAGGGAGTGGAAGCCCCTGGGTGTCTGGGAGGAAGATCAGGAGGAAGCTGGCCACGATGGGGACTATGCCGTAGAAGAGGGGAGGCAGCAGGGACAGGGTCTGCTGAGTCATCCTGACCAGGGGGGCCAAGGCGGCTCCCAGCCGACTCATTGACATTATCAGGCCATCTGACGTCATCCTGTGGGGGAGGGGACCCAGCCCTTTCATGGCTGCCACTCTGGGGGGCTTTACCGGAGTGGGGAGCCTCTTGACTGGGAGGGAACGCTGGGCTGAAGGAGCTGCCCTCCACAAGGTGTCCTCCAGTGCTGCCCCCTCTGGGGAGCCCACCTAGATTTTTCCATTCAGAGGGGCCTCTGCTTCCTGGGAGCATCTGGAGTCCTTCCTGGGAACTCCCTGGACCCACCCTGCTCTCCCTGGTCTTAAGTCATTTGGGGGCTCCTGGGGGGCCACTGAGCTCCCAGTTTGGGCGTTGCATGTACTATCAACCGCATCTATACGTGTACACGAGAGGAAGGTAGAACAGGAGCAGGCAGGGCAGCGAGCGCCATGAGTGAAGGGAGGGGCTGGACTGGGCCCCTAGGAAGCCGGGTCCCAGCGTAAGCTTCTTTGGAGGAGGTCCTCCTCCACCTTGGGGGCCAGGAGGTGTGTACTCAGTTCTATGGCGGCAGCTGGGGCCCCTCAGTGCCCCCCAACCCCATGCACTGCAGGGTGCCCAGCCCCCCACCCCACAGCCCACCTACCGCAGCGGAGTTGGGAAGAGCGTTGGCCTGTAGAGGCTGAAGAAGCTCAGGCTGATGCCCAAACAGCCCTTCCCCAGCACAGCGAAGCCCACACGCAGCACCTGCAGGTCTGTGGGGGGGCAGGGGAGGGGAGTCTGCTGAGTGGCCAGGCCAGCCTGGGCCAGAGAGGTCCGGCAGTGGGGGGCAGGGCAAGAAGCCAGGCGGGTGGGGGCGGGGAGCATGGAGGCAGTCATGGGGTCGCTGCAGGCCCGCCCCCTGTTGGTGTGGTCAGGCAGGGCTCTTTGGGCCCCTGGGGTGCTGCTTCCTGGGGAGAGAAGGTCATGCCAGCCCAGGCCCCCTGCTGGGCCCTGCCGGCTCACTGCCCCCGTCCCTCAGCCTGCCTGCAGGGACCCCCGACCGGCCGCCCTCCACCTGCGGGCCCCTGTGGCCTGCCCGTGGGGTTCTGAAGAGTCCTCCAGACTGTGAAGGGCTTGTCTCTGAAAGTCTCTGAGGGCTGCGTGGGGTTCACTGGGCTACCTCAGCCCCTCCCGGCTGCTCCTTGTCCTTTGGGGTCCCCCCTGCTTCGGCTGCCACGAGGCTGCATGACCCTGGCTCTGCCCCAGACCCCTGCCTCGAGCAATAAGGGGACCTGGAGAGGGTTCCCAGGGCACCACAGCTTCGTTCCAAAGAAGAGTCAGTCCGGGCCTGGGGCAGCCCCAGCTCTGCTTCTGGAACAAGCTTCTCTGGCCTCTCTGCGGGCAACCAGAGCCTCTCGGCCTCCAGCCCCTTCTGGTCATGGCAGGCTCCCATCCCCACCCACGGGGCAGGTGGTGGGCGCAGGGACTGGCAGGACGCCCACACCCTGTGGTCAGCAGCTGCACCTCACCTGGCGGGACCAGCACATTGGCCAAAATGGACAAGCCGCTCGCAGCCTGGAAGGTGGCCAGGGCCACGCGGCCCCTGAAGAACCTGAGGAAGAAGGCGAGGGTGGCCCAGCCCAGGAAGTCCACGGCCCCGAAGAGGACCTGGAGGAGGAAGGTATTGCCGCCCAGGCTCTGCAGATCCAGGACCAGCCCGTGGTAGGAAAACATCAGCGAGAAGCTGCAGGTGAGACGAGAGGCCCTCACGAGTGCCCCAGCCTGCGCCCCCAGGCTCGCCCCCCAAGTTGGCTGCCCGCAGCACCCCAGCCTGCGGATGTGGGCCAGCCCCCAGGGTCCCAGGAGGGGGTGCAGTGCCTGCACCCACTGTCGCCTCTGGGATTGCAGCTGAAGACCCCGCCCCTACCCTGTGGCCGGGCCTGGGGTCGGGCCCAACTGCCCGGGCTCTGCCATTGTCTCTCCTGGAGGCCCCGCCCCCACGCCAGCGCCTCTGTCTTGACCGGTGGGATTGATAGTAGACAGGGCCGTGCTGCCCCCAGGGCGGGCAGTCACTCCCGGCAGCTCTGCCACAGCTGGGGAGAGCATCCCCCACACATCTGCTTGTACCAGAGGGACCACTCATAGGGGTCCCCCACTTCCAAGGCCCACCAGAGCCTTGCTTGACCACATCTTGCTGCTCCTTCCTCGCCCCTCCCTCCCCTGCCCTTCCTCCCTCTCCTCCCCACCCCTGTGTTCTCCTTCTCTTGGCACCTCCCTACCCACCTCTCCTCCCCTGCGTCTCCACAGGAGGTGATCCCCAGTGCCCGCTCCCAAGACCTACAGCTCTGCTGGGACGCTCATCCCATCCCCCCTCGGTGTCACCTGATTGCTTTGCCCAGTGGGCGCCTGTCACCTGCCGCCCCTGCGGGGGCACCCCCTGGCCACCCGGCGCTGCGCTGCATTTCCGTGGAGCCCACGGTGCTTCCCGGCGTCGTGAGGGTGACCGGGAAGGCAGCACTGCAGCAGCCGCCACGCTGGGACTAGAGCCTCAGCTGCTGCTAGCTGGGGTCACCGCACAGGTGGGGACGGCCAGGAGGCGCTGCGCGTCCCGCCTGTGATCTGAGGACAGGGTCGCCCAGCGCCCGGGAAGGCAGCCTGGAAGGGCTTTGAGGGAAGGGCCCACCTCCTTCTAATTTATCAAGGGGGAAAAAAACACGTTTTCTCCATGCTCTGTTCTAACAGGCGGCACATGTTTGCCTTTGTAACCCACCTGCCGTTAAATATAGCCGAAAATAAAGCATTATTTTGAGACTAAGTCCCCATCAAACCTGACTTTCCCTCTTCAGCGTGCATTTCTGCAAGACTTTTAACTGAATTTGTTTCACAGGCTTTTTCACAGGGGGCCTCCTGGGGTGGGCAGGAGTCCTTGCTGAGTGGCAGGCTTGGGGGACCCCTGGAGAGGAGGTGGCCCTGCCTGGGCTCAGACAGCGGCTCCGTCTCCCGGGGCAATCAGACGCCCCCGGGCACTGTCCATCTGTGAAGTGGGGAGTGAGTGCGCTGATCTCATGAGCGTGTCCAGGGGTGCTGGTAACTGCACGTGCTGTCCTCTCTGAGTGTGGCTGTTGCTGAGTGGGGTGCCCTCTGCTCCCCTGGGCACTGTGCTTTAGGGATGTGGGTCTGCCTTTGCCCTGGGCGCCATCCTGGCCCCGGGCTGCCCCCCCACCCGCTGCCTCCTGCAGGGCCCTCCTGACCACTCCTGCTCACGCTGCCCCTTCTGACCCCGGGGTCTGCCTGGCCTGGCCAGAAATGCACCCGTGAGTCTGCAGGTGCTGGTTTCCCCGGGACAGCCTGGCACCCCTAGCCCTCCGCAGGAAGGGTGATGGAGATCACATACATCACCGCGAACAGGCTGCAGAGTCTCTTGCGGAGCAGGGGTACGCAGAACAGGTCCAGCACTGCCCCCTGGGCCCTCGCAGAGGCCACCTCCTCCTGCATGCTGGACCTCAGCACCTCCAGGGAGAAGGGGACAGGGTGAGCATTGGGGGTCACCCTGCCACACCCCCATGCCAGGGAGTGGGGGTCCAGGTGGGCGGAGTGATGGGGGAATCTGACAGCTCCGAGCTGGGCTCTCCCGCAGACCTGGCCCAACTACCCTGAGAGAGTCCTCCGTCCCAGCCGCGGCCCTCTTAGCTACGGGCTGCCAGCTGCTTGGGGCGGTGACTCCACAAAGCCCCTCTTCTTCAGGGCATGCCCACTCCAGCCCCCCTGGATCCTCACCACACCCCAAGTGCCCCATCAGTCTTCGTGGGCCTGGTCTGCTCTAGTTTGCCTCCACATGGAAGCCTTCCCTGTTCCTACTGCCCCCAGGGAGCTCTGTGTCGTCCCTGGCACAGCTGTCTTCAGAGAAGCGCATCCTGTTCCCCCCCACACACCGAGAAGCCCTGAGAGGTGAGTGTGCAACAGGTGTGGATTAAGGTGATTGATGAGGGAGATGCTGAGGCGAGGAAGGTGCTGATAATGCTTGCACGGTTGTTATTGGTGGCAGTAGTAGTAATGATGGTGATGATGGCAACGATGACAGTAATGGCCATGGTGTTGATGGTGTTTTGCAGGGATGCTAATGATGGTGTTAGTGATGGTACTGGGGACGATGGTGTTGGTACCAGTGGTATTGTTATTATTGTTGGTAGTTATAGTAGTTGTGTTTGTGTAGAAAGTGGTGGTAAAGGCAGGTTTAATGTAAGTGGTGGTGCAACTGCTTATGGAGGTGATGATGGAGGTGATGATGGTGATGGTGGTGATGATGGAGGTGATGATAGAGGTGATGATGGTGGTGATTATGGAAGTGATGATGGTGGTGATGATGGTGGTGATGATGGAGGTGATGATGCTGGTGATGATGGAGGTGATGATGGTGATGAAGGTGATGATGGTGATGATGGAGGTGATGATGATGATGGAGGTGATGATGATGATGGAGGTGATGATGGTGATGGAGGTGATGATGGAGGTGACGATGGAGGTGATGATGATGATGGAGGTGATGATGGAGGTGATGCTGATGATGGAGGTGATGGTGGTGATGGTGATGATGGAGGTGATGATGATGACGGAGGTGATGATGGTGATGGTGGTGATGATGGAGGTGATGATGGAGGTGATGATGATGACGGAGGTGATGATGGTGATGGTGGTGATGATGGAGGTGATGATGGTGATGGTGGTGATGATGGAGGTGATGATGATGACGGAGGTGATGATGGTGATGGTGGTAGTGGTGAGGATGATGGTGGTAGTGGTGGTGGTGATGATGATGATGACAGAGATGTAAAAGTGACAACAGTGGTGTTGACATGGGTGTTCTGTAGCGATCCTGATGGTGTGGAGGTTGTGATGGAGGTGGTAATGGTGAAGCTGGGACAACAGATCAGCAGATGTCCTCCCCCAGGTCAGGGCTGATACAAACGGCCATGTCTCACCTCTATGGTCAGCGTATTTTTGGCTTCCTTTTGGCCATTTATTCTGGCCACCTTTTGGAGTTCCCGAAGTGCTTGTTCTGGTTTATCCATGATAATCAGCCACCGGGCAGATTCTGGCAGCCACCTGTTGAAGAAGCAAGTGTGCTTGGCGGTCCTCTGCTTTCTTCATAGATCCCAGCCTCATCCCCCAGGGCAGGGGGGAAGAGGAGGGTGGCTGGCAGCAGATCCTCGGCTGCAGTGGGAGTGAGTGAAGGCAGCGCCTCTCCCTCTGCACCACTGCTGCACCTGCTGCCCGTGGTACGACTGATGGTTTTCGGGCTCTGATGGTTTTCAGAGCAAGAGGAGGCCCAGGGCCTGGCTGTGCTGTTTTCCCTGTGCCACCCTGGCTTCCTGGCTGCCAGGCAGCTGCCCTGGCATGGTGACTGTGCCCATTTCTATGACAGAAAGCACAAATCATGCTGAATTAAAACAACACACATTTTTTTTAAAATCACATTTAAAACATCCAGAAACAACTAGAAACAAGAGATTTTTATTAAAGTATTTTGCTTCGTCCCAGCCAGGGGGCAGATAAGCCAGGAGAAGTGTCTCCTTGGTGAAGAGAACAATTTTCCTGGCCCACAGGAGCTCGGCCATCACCACCACCACCACCACCACCATGCAGGGAAGCTCAGAATATCACAGGTACCTGGACACAGTGGGGAAAGGAACCAGGCCTGGGCTCAAGCCCTTTGGCACTCACCAGCTGTGTGGCCTTGGGCTAGTCACTGAACCTCTCTGGGCTTTAGTCCCTCATCTGAAAACAGCGATAACATCGTCTTCCTCAGCGTTAATCCACACCTGGCATTACCAACAGCACCTTTGACACAACCAGTGTGACCGGGGAGGCAGAATAAGTGTGACTATGGCATGGTCTTCCTTCTTGCTGTTGAGGTAATGAACTCCGTGCGGCCAGTGTTTTACTGCCGATACAACCCCAGTGTCTAACCCCGTTTGGCGCGGGGCAGGGGTGCAGTGCACATTTGAGAACGAGTGGGTGAGTGCTGATTCTCTGCCGCCCGCAGCTGGCTCACCTGGGCCAGGTGTGTTCGACTCTGACTTCGGTCACAAGAGGAGTTACAGGGACGGAATCTGTGTCTGTTTCATGCTGTCTCTCCCTCCAGTCCCCACCCAAGCTGGCATCTAAGACCTTGGGGATTTTCACAGCACCCAAAGCAAGAGTCACCTCGCCCCATGCCCGTCGCGAGTCCACGGGTCAGGCAGGCGGGCGATGTGGCCGAGGGGGCCCAAGGGGCGCAGGGCAGCTGTCGCTCACCTCTGCCTGAATTTGGTCTGGGCCCCCGGGATCGCCCAGTTTCTCAAGGTAGAAATATTATTTTTATTTCTTTGTAAATATCTCCCAATTTTTCAGTGTTGGTGACTAGTCACGAATATGTTTTTTAATCATCATTTGAGCCACCGCTGAGCTGGCCAGTCAGTGCCCGTCCAGGCTGGGTGGGACATCAGACCTGCCCCTCCCGGGGAGGGCCTCATGTCATCGCCATGGCGACCATCAGCATCTTGGGGCCCATGGCCTGCTGAGGTGGTGGGGGGAGGAGCTCTGGTCCCCTTCTGAACAGTGAGGTTCTCCCCACTGCCCCATACCAACCAGGATAGCAGGAAGACAGCAAACAAGGGCACCGTCACCGCCAGCTGGAGGGCACGCCAGTCCCGCAGGGCGAAGGCCAGGCCGCCCAGGGTCATCTGGCCCAGGCTGAAGGTGCACCCCAGGAGCATCACGGTGCCGTCCCTCCTGCGGGCTGAGATCCACTCCACCACTGCGAGGCCAGGCAGAGGCTGCAGGTGAGCACCGTGGGCAGCGGCCTGGCCTCCCCCCGACCCCTCCGTGGCGGCTGCAGGCTGAGCCGGGACTCACAAAGGGTGTTCATGGTCAGTAAAACGCCCGCCAGCCCAGAAGCGCTCAGAAATCGGAGGCAGCAGTAGGTGAGGAAATTCAGGGCATAGATGGTGCTGATATTGGCCACGGCCATCTGCAGGCAGCTCCAGCTCAGAATCGGCCTCCGCCCGAACCTGTCCAGGAGACAGCATGGTGGGGCCGGGCGCAGAGGCTCATGCTTGCCACGCGGAGTGTGGGCAGCACCCCTCCCCTGCCAGGCCCGGGGGAGGGGGGGAGGCGGGGAGTGGAGGCGGGAGCCTCCGGGCGTGCTGGTGGCTTGGGCGAGGGCACAGGTGCTGTGAGGGGAGGGGCTGAAGGTGTGACTGTGGGGCATGAGGGAAGCAGAGGAAGAAGGGGGGCTCACTTCTGGATGCAGTAGGGGGAAGGGGAGGCTCCCACATTGAAACTACAGGAGGGAGGAGAGGCCTGCCAGCTACAGGGGGCTGTGGAGGGAGGGGCACCGCCAGCACTGCAGGAGGAGAGGAGACTCTGGACTCGGTCCGTGGGGCTGCAGCCCAGGAGAGGTGGGCGGTGGGAAGGCAGAGGGGAGGGGAGGCGGGTGGAGGAGTGAAGAGGGCAGGAAGGGGGGAGAGTAATTCTATTTTCATAGCACATCGCGTCCTCAGAAGGCGTTGCTCCCTGAGGCACACAGTAGGTATTCCAGAAAGGTCTGGGCTGCGGGAGGCAGCACCGGCCACAGCAGGGGTGCAGGGCCACGCTCTCCTATAGCTCCACCTGCCTCCAGGTTCAGGCACTGCCCCTGGGGACCTGGGCTCCCGGCCAGACCCTGACTGAAGAGGGGAAACCCCCCTCCTAAGAACTTGGACGTTCACCCAGTAGTTCCGCCGCCCCCACCATGCTCATTCTGTTTTATGGGAGCAGGAGGGTTCGAGAAACTCACCGGCGGGACAGGAGGCCCCAGGTGATGGACCCTGCCAGGATCCCGGCCATGTAGACAGACTGGCTGACGAACTTCAGGCCCCAGGAGCCGCACACCAGGTCCCACTGGAAGAGCAGGACAGCGTGCCAGCCTGGCTCTGGGGCGGGAACAGCAGCCAGGGGGCAGAGGTGGGCCAGCGTGGGCCTGGCAGAACGAGGGGGGCAGAGGCTGAACCACTGACCGGTGGGCTCAGTGACTTCCCACACTCGGCCGAGCCTGTTCCTCAGCTACAAATGACAAGGTTAGAAACTGAGCCCCCGTCCGTGCCCAGCAGGCAGGTTGGGAGGCTGGACTAGCGCGGGTTGCCTTGGGAACCAGCCACAAGACCCACCACCACGGGCAGAACCCAGCCCGGCTCCAGGAGTGCAGGAGCAGAGACCGGGACACGTTCTGTGCCAGAGGCCAGCACCTGAGACCAGACATCCCAGCAGATGCCTGGCACCAGCTGGCACCCCATGTTAGAAAGCCGGCGAGAATGGCGTGTAAGAGAGCCTCAAAGCCTTCTTGGGGTACGGACCCCTCCCGTCTCGCCCGCCGCTCCTCTTAGCAGTGTGTTTCAATAAATCTGCCTTTTTTGTTCTCTGTCTCTGTTGAATTCTTTCACCCCCACACTTCCGGGGCCACCCGATATTTCTCCCCGCTACACACACGTCACTGCTCTCACGGGGCTCAGCCCGCCCAGGACCCTGGCCACCGCCCAAACAGCAAGTCCCCGTCAGTCCTCCCTGACACCCTCGCTCCCCACTCTCCTTTTGTTTCCTGCTTGTCACCCAGATACTGGGGTCGGAGCCCCCCCAGACAGAGCACTCTCTACCCTGCAAAGTGGCCTCTTGAAAATTCAATTCAGATCACGTCACCTCCCTGCCCCAAAGCCTCTGACGACTTCCCTTTGCACTTAAAGTTCAGGCTTCTCACCACCACCCACATGGTCCCCCCACCTTCCCCACCACCCTCGGGTCTGGACCCTCCCATTCTGTGCTGAGACACCCTGGGCCTGGTTACGACCCTTCAACACCCAGCCCTGCTCCCGCTTGCACCCCTGTCCTGGCTGGGCTCTCCCCACCTCCCAGGACAGATTCCTTCTCTCGACTGAAATGTCGTGGCTTCTGCTATCCCTCCCTTACCTGCAGGAACCCCTTTTTCCCCTGTGCTCACAGGATGCACCAGGAGCTTCGAGCCCAAGCTCCAGGCAGGACAGAAGACGGATGAAGACCCAGAATCCAGCCCCTGGCTGCCTGGGTCGAATGACGTTTCGGTATATTTTAGCTGTGTGTCCTGGGGCAAGTTACTCAACCTCTCTGGGCTTCCATCTGATCACTATCACATGAGGACAACATTCAGACGCACCTCCTAAGACTGTGGGGAGACTGTGACCGTGGGGGACTCCTGGGGCAGCACCTGCCACTTAGAAAGTGCGTGGGGAGCCCTTGCCTTGCCCCGCTGACTGACGGTGAACCCACTGGTGGAGCCTGAGCTCCTTGAAGCCTCCCTGTCCATCCTGATCAGTCGGGACCATTGGGAGTGTCCGTCAACACGTGTGCAGGGAGCGGCAGTCCCAGGAGCAGGGACGGGCAGCTCCTCCTGGCAGCCGTGGGGGCCAGCCATCGCGCCACCAGGAAGGGGCTGCGGGAGGCCTTACCTCGGCCACGATGGTGGAGGTGAAGGTGCTGCGGTCGTACACCCAGCCGTCCAGACACGGCTCCGTGGCCGCCGCGCTCCAGTTGGCCGTGGCGTTGGGCTCCAGGAGCTGCCACTGCGGTTGGCGGAAGCGGAGACACTGGTGGGGCCCCTGGTCGGGCCCGGGCGGGATGGAGACGGTCAGGAGGGCCTTGCGGGTGAGGTTCCCCGAGGCCTCAGAGCCGTTGTCCAGGAGGGGTACCCAGCAGCGGTGGGCGGGGGTGGTGGCTAAGAAGTTCTCCCCCAGCAGGTGGGAAGGCAGCAAGAAGGAGGGGAGGAGCAGGGTGAGGATGTGCAGGGCCTGGAAGAGACCGGTGCCCCCAACTCGCTCCAAGAGGTCCTCGAAGGCCATGGACAGAGCTGCTGTGCCCACGAGTTGGGTTTCTGGGCATCAGGGTCCTGGAGAGCTCGGGCTGCTCCCGGAGCCACGCGGGCCAGTGGGATCTGGGACACCAGACTCTGCTCGCTGCTGGCGGAGCGGGAAAGGCCCCTGCCGGGTAACCGGTCGAGTCAGTTCTGAGATGCCTGGAAACTGCTCCGCACCTGCATGGTAAGTGGTCACCAAGAGCGACAAAGAGTGACCACTCACAGGCACCGCCACTCGGAGCCGGGGCAAAGCTCCCGGACCACAGGTGCTCCAGGACCAGGAGCGAAAGGTCAAGTAGAGTGAGCGAGAACAGCGAGATGAGATGTTGGGATGTTACTGAGTTACAGTGATGAAGGAAATGTCCCCTGGACCTTTGCCTCCGGGCCTCGGTTAAACTGTAATCTCAGCGTGGGTCCCGGCGAGAGGCGCCTCAGCTCCACTGGCAACTCACTGCATTCCTTGAGCTGAACATCCAAAACTTGTGGCCTCTTTGGCCGGGGCCCTGGTGACAAACACCTCCAGCGGGCGGGCAGTCGGGCCTTGAGCTAAAGCACAGACGGGGGCGCCGAGCAGGGTCCTCCAGGGTGGGCTGCTCAGGGCGGCCTTTCTGACCGGGGGCTCCCCAGACTGCACCAGGAGGGACCCCGCAGATGCACTATGGTGGGGAGTCTCCATTTCAAGTGCCAAGTTGCCTTTAAATTAGTGTGAGCCTCCCCCGCCCCCTCAGGGAGAAACCACTATGATGACTTCCCGGCAGCCGCCCTAGTGCCTCACAGGCCTGGAGCTGGGCAAGGAGAGTTGCACCTCCCTGACCCAGTGTCTGATGCTGGCCTGGCTTGGGTAGAAGTGGGGACCGGTCCCACCCCAGCACCTCCCCTGGGTGGTGCCCCTCAGCTGGTCCTGGCGCCGAGGGCCAGGTATGCTGACCTCAGCCACTCGGGGTGTGTCATGGCGGCGCCGGCCCTGCCTGGCTCTTCCCGGGCCAGGCAAGCCGCCCACTTGCTGCTGGAGCGGGAAGGAGCGGCTGGGCCATCTCGGCTTGGGGGCCCGGGCTCACCAGCTGCTGCAGGGTGGGGGGTCCCCGCCTGCCTCCCTCCCACCCACCCACCCCGCCTGCCTCCTTGGGAGTCCTTGGCGGGAGCTGGGCCTGTGTAAAACCGATGGTGGAGGCACCCTCTTGCCGTTCATGAGCACCTGGCGCGGTGGTGGGGGCTGCCTTTCTGTGGTTCCAGGGCTCAGTGCCCATGCCAGCTGTCATTCCTCGTAGCAGCCCAACAGAGAGGTGAGCTGACCCCCAGACAAGGAAACTGAGGCTCAGAGAAGGCAGGCAGCTTGCAGGCCACACAGCAGATTTTAACTGGACTCCACAGCCTGGGCTCTGCCTGGTGCCCCTGGTCAGCCTCAGGGTGGACCCTAGTTTGTCAACAGTGACATCCCAGCTAAAGGCCAGAATTCAGGATTTGGGTCAGAACTGGGGTCAGCCCGAGAGCCCAAGTCCCCTCCCAGGGTGTGAGAGGGCCAGGCCACGCCCCCCCTGGAAGGCAGTCTGAGGCACGGGGGTGTGGGTGAGGCGTGGGCGGCCTCAGGACCCTGCACTTCGAGAACCTCCCTGAGGTTGGAGAGCTCAGTCAAGATGGTGCTGGGCCAGGAGCGGAGAGCCAGGGCTGCGGCCTGGATTTCAAGCCAGGACCTTTGCTTAAAGGTCGCGGGACCTTTCCAGGCAGGAATTCATTATAAATTTTAAGGTAGCTGAATGGGAGGGATGGGAAAAGAAATAACCCAAACTGAACCTCAGGAGGTCTTGAGAATCTGGAGGTAACGGGCTTAGCTCCAGTGCCAGGAGCATAATTCCTGCTTCTGTTTGTGCAAACACTCTCTTTGCAGGGGTGCTCCTACCCAGGACCATCACCTTGACGAGGGACTTCCCCTCTCTGAGCCCCAAAACAGGAGAGTTGCCTTGCTGGTGGTTCAGACCTCAGCATGGACCAGAAGCCACAGGAGGGCTGGATGAAATGCAGATTCCCAGGCCGGCCATATGGTTGAGCTGGGCCCAGGAAGCCTCATGTTAAAATAAGTCCCCAGGAGATTCTGCTGCACTGGGACCTGGGCGGCCTGGGGAACTTCTGGGCTAGAGGCGACGCTGGACAGTCCACGTGTCCTCCAGAGAATTCTTGCCACGTTCTCCTTTTTTTCCATATGCAGGAACAAAAATATTCTCTGCGTCCCCACCCTTTGCCTGTGGTGGTGGCTCCTGGCTTTGCTTACAGCAGAAGGTCAACCCTCCCGGATTTGCCAGAAGGCGCCCGGAATCTCCAGCTGACTTCGCGCTCCCAGGCCAAAGTGGTTCTTAATCTGTATTTTCCGTTTTTCCCTGGGCCCCGGGGGCCGGGCTGGGCGCGGCTGCTCTGCCACCTGGTGGTCGCGCGCGGGACGGCAGCGTGTCCCCCAGCGTGTCCCCCGGGGCCGCTTCCTCGCGGAGGCGCCTGTCCCCCAAGCGTTCCCCGGCGGCTTCAGGGGGAGACGCCTGCCCAGCCCTTCAGAGCCCTTCAGAACGGCCGCGTGTTAACGCGTGTGAAATGAAGCTCAGAGAACCACCGTGGCTGCTGGTGAGTTTCCTGGCGGAGGCCTGGGGGTGACCTCCAGGCTGGAAAAGGCCGCGGGCAGCGCCTGGGCTCGGAGGCCGGGATTGAGGTGGGGAGCGTGAACGAGACAGTGGCCGGGCCCGGCTCGGCCGTCATCACCGCCACCTTTGCCCCGGCCCGTGGCCTTCCTCGGTTTCCTTGGCCAGGTGAAGTCAGCCTTTCAGATCCAGCTGGGCTCCCGGCCCGCCCCTCCCTCCTGGGGGCCGCTGGGGTGAGGAGATGCTGGGGCTCCCTCTGGGTTCCCCGCAGGCTCTACTAGGGTCTCGGGCCCCAGGGTCAACGCTCTTCCTGCTGTGCCTGAGTGAAGGGGACCATTGAAAAGGGATGGAGGGGTGGGCCCAGGCCTCATCTGACTCAGACCCCCCAGGCCAAACACAGCCAGCCCCAGCGTCCTGAGAGGGGTCTCCCCAGCCCAAGCCCCCAAGCTAATGGGTATTGTCCCTTGGGGCAGACCCAGCCCCTAGCACTCTCCCCTGGGGTGGCACGAAGCCTGGGCTGTGAGATGCTGGGCAGTGAGGATCTGCAGATTGGGCTGACCCCAGAGTGAGCCAAGGGCCTGCCAAGGGCTGGGGGTGGGCACAGTGTTTCCTTCATAGGCCAAAGAGGCAGCTCTGTTCCTGGGGGGCTCCCATGGGCCCCTGCATCACCCCGGCATAGCAGCAAGGGTGCAGCAGGCATTGGCAGACACTGGCTTCCTCTCCCCTGCTCTCTGAGTGTGGTCAGTGGGGCAGCCGCAGAGCCAGCCCGCACAAACGCAGACCCTCGGGCCCACCCTGACCTTCAGAGACGGAACCTGCGTTTGCCAAGGAGCCAGCGTGATCTGTGTGCCCATTCAAGCTCCAGGGCTCTGGCCTAGATCTCCCAGGCTCCCACCTCCAAGCTGGGGGTTTCCAAAATAAAAGCTCGTTACAAGGGGGAATTTAAACTCCCAGCGCCCCAGCCCTGTCTGTACCCGGAGGCACCGGCTCAGTGTTTGCTGAGTAAAAGAGGGAACCGAGTGTCAGGCAGGGCCGTCGGGCAGCCCCACGGCATTTTCTTCCTGCCTCATGGGCAGGGGTGCAGGGGGCCAGGTGTCATGGAAGGGGCTGCCCCCCAGCGCCAAGCTGGAAGGTACTCTGCACCCAAAGCCACAGAGACTGATCTTTTCCACCGCCCCTCACAGTCTCCCAAACACGCCTTCTGTGCCTGGTCGCGGCTAAATTCCAAACTCTGCCCTTCACTGGTTTCGAATCAGCTGCTTCCCACAAGGAGCCTGCACCCGTCTCGTGACAAGGCCGAGGGGACACAGCAGCCCGAGGCCCTGCTTTGTCAGGGTCCCCTGGCCCGTTACCTGGTTCTCCAGGCACAAGGGGGGCGTGGGGTTCAAGATGGCCGACAGAACCCACACATGTCTCCTCTCCCCAAATCCAAGTGGACGGAGGAAGCAGAGAAAAGGTGAAACGGGAAGGGGGGTGTGTAAGACTTGATGCAGAGGGACGGGGAACCCCCAGACCAAGGGGTACTAACCCCGCACAGCTGGGAAAGAAGGGGTCCCAAAGCCCAGAGCTTCATGGAGAGAAACGGCCGCAGGCGGGCCTGGGTGCTTGGGTGACGGCAGGAAGGGCATCACCAGGCTCGTGCCAGCCCTCCCCGGCCCGCCCCGGGCACAGACTCCGGTGTTTGTGCAAGGGCCGAGGATGCAAGTTCAGGTAAAGGAAGCTCCAGAAGCAGGTGCTGGGTCGTAGCAGAAGGCGGTACCCTGGCAAGAGCAGGGTCCACGCTGGCGTTTGGGGGCGCCTGGATCACCGTGTGCCTCGGCTGTTCTGTGTCTTTGCCTTGATTATTCTTTGCTTTAACTTCCCTGTGCCTCTCTGTGCAGAAACAGGGAGAGTTTGAGACAAGCAACCTCTCGGGGCGGAAGCCCTGGCGCGGGGATCCGCACCTGCTGAAAGCAGCACGTGCAGAAGCTGCGGTGGCTGCTGTGGTTCGAGCAGCAAACACTGAGGCTCCCTTGACTCTCCCCGATTCCCCAAACTTGGCTGGGGCCAGCTGCTTGCGCATCCCCCGCACTGCATTCCCCGCTTGCCTGCTGGCTTCCTTGATCCTTTTTCTCTCCTGGCGGATTCTAAATAAAAGCGAGACTGCCCTTGAGCGGGCTGCCCCTTCGTGGCGGGGCCCTCCAGGCTTCTTGTCGTTCCGCACACGGCCTACGAGTGACCCTTTTTCATCCCGCCGCCACACGCCGTAACCAGACAGGAGAGGGCCCAGAAGGGCAGATCCACTCGCCCCCACCTGGCCACGGCCCCACCCACGGGCCCCAGGGCCTTGCGGGGACCGTGGACGGGCTTGCCGTTGGGATCCACTCACAGGGAGGCAGGGGCGCCCTCCCTTGGCCCGAGGAAGGACATTCCTGCAACCGGCAAGTCTATCCAGAACCCCGACCTGCCAGTATGAACCACCAAGAAACACACAGTCTCTAAGGAATTGCATGCGCTGGAAGAGACGCCAAGCCAAGCGGCGGAAGAACCACCGCAGACGATGAGGGAAGTAACGCAGGAAGCAGACAAAAAAGTCAAATCCGCTATCGCTTTTA